AATTGTGCAATACAATCGCTCCCAGTATTGCCGCTATCCACCCCCTGCCCAGGGTCTGGATAAGGCAAGAGAAAGAATTTTACCCCGGCTCCAAACAAACACGCTGCTATGCCCGGCGATATTACAATATTTTGACCTCACAATCACCGGCAGGTGCAAGCACTGTGGGCAGACAGCCTCTGTATAACACATGGTGTGGACCTGTTAGCTCAACATGGCTATTTCTCCTCTCCCCAACCCTACGCGAGAGGACTGGTAGGCGACGCTGCTTAGCTGCTCTGACCTTCAGCCCCAATAGGGCCTGATTGCCCTAGCAAGGGAAGCGGTATCGTCCAGTGATGTCCCGGACTCAGGACCTCACTTAGTCTCTAAGACCCTTTCGGGGCTCATATGCTCTCTTTTATAACAAAGTTTTTCGCCGCCACCACCACCACCACCAGGCCGGCCTCGTCACCCTCGATATCGCAGACGACGACCGATAGAAATCGAGATGATTCATTGCACTTCTCCGTCCCTTCTCTGACTCTCTCACTCGACCCGGCCACCGAAGTCAATTTAACCTCGGGGCCCGAACATGCAGCCCCTGCCTCTCCCATACAACAATGGGGAAACGCGGTGGCACCATCATCTATAGACCGGTGGGGAAGAAAACCAACTTGTTCACCGTGTCTCGCGACGCCATCACGAGTTTTTCGCTGGATTTGTCACCACCCAGCGCGCCCGCATCAATTTTCGTTGGAACCTCGTATCCGTGGACGTACAACCAGCTGCAGACCCTTCGGAGCTCCTCGAAGTTCGGAGGATCTGCTCCCTTAACGTCAAGTCCGAGCTCATCATGGACAACACCTCTGTGGCAGTCCTCTACGATGTCGGCATAGACTTAGACGCCGCTGACATTGCGGCAAACATCTCCTTGGCCGTCCTAGTCCTATCCTGTGTGCGCCGTGGCAGGTGACTCACTATCACCTTCGAGGGAACCATTGTACAGTGGTTTCTCTTCAAAATGCGCAGGATGGTCCGTCCGCGCCTGTTTTAGCCCCTGCAATGCACCTGTTGCGGCCATTTCAGTCATGCCACCAACACTTGCTAGCGCGACGAGCGCTGCCTCCGTTGCGGTGGTGGTCACGCGAATGAACCGTGCCCTTCAGAGCACCCTCGCTGCATAAACTACAGTGGCAAACATCAGGTCAACGAGCCGTGTTGCCCCACCCTGGCAGATCTAGTGCAAGGCCACCGTCATCACCTCTTCAGAAGGCCCCGTGACACGCCCCCAAGCGTTGGAGGAACCCTGCCAACAACATCGTAAAGCATGGCAGCACGGTGGTCGTGAAGGGGCGCTCTTTTTGTGAGTTTGTCACCGGTGGTGACCGATCGTCGTCGGCAACCGCCCCTAGCCCTGCTATGAATGGGCCTCCTGCCTCTTCGAGCACAACGACCCTAAACCCGCTCCTCTGGATATGCCAGCCCCCGAGGTCAACCCGAAGGGCACGGTGATTGCCACACGCGCGGCGGCAATTCGAGCAGCGTTTGTGCTCCTACCGGTTGACTCACCGGTGTGTGGATTGTGTGCCGCGGCTCTCAGCTTACGCATGAAGCCCATCATCTCGGCGAGTCAGGCGGCTGGATTACAACATTGAGACCACCTGGACTCTTACCCGTGAGCTCATTTGAATCCTGATTTTTTTCGTGCTTAGGCCATGCGCCTAGACGAGCGCTTCGTGCAATTCCATCTTATATTGCGGAATCTTGTTCTTGTTCTTGTTTACGTTCCCTTGTGGCTTATACCCACTGTGGGGGATCGGCCAATAATTGAGTGGTCTATTAAAGTATTATTCAATTTTGAGTAAAGAAACTTATAAGATTTCGGCTCATCAAGCTTCTTATTCGGCGAAAGGGTTTTCTGTGGCCTTCTCGATGGCTTTTCCGGACGGTCGTGTGCTGTCGCGGTGGTTCGGATACGCGCCCAGGAAGGCGGAGCAAATGTGTCCTACTTTTAACGCGATAGCGTTAGAGAGCTCGTGTGGCGAAAATTCCGCCGTCGGCACCGTTGGCTGTGAGTAAAAAATTGTCCGTGAGCGAAAAATGAACAAAGAAGCAAATAAAATAAATAACAATTTTCGTCACATTCAGGATCAAAGCAGGACCGTTCACGTGGCAAGCAGGTGTCCTACCCCAAAGCCAAAATGTTACTTTAGAGCTGCCTTTGGAAAAAAAAACACTACATATATGCCATGTAGTGGAAAGAGACTCCTTAATGCATTTTCTTCCACAGGTGTCACTACGAAAACGAGCTTATTCGGCGATTTGTAGGCGCGTTTGGGAGGCTATCAAACTACATCAAAAAAGGCCGGGATAGTGCAGCCATCGCCGGTAAAAACACACAGGAACTTTCAAACAGCTATAAAAATGGACTACTATGTCCATCTAGCGGAAAACATATCTTGCCTTTACAGAGGCGTTTATCAAGCAAACAGCAAAAGCTAGATAATGTGCGGCCATCTGTGAGGAATTGTGAGACTCTTTATGACCTCCGAGATGGCGAGCGTGCGGTGTGTATTTTGGAGGTCACGGGACTCTGACTTTAGATCAAAAACCCGTATGTACCTTTCGCGCGCGTGCGCTGGCACGATCTACTGTGTCCGTGCGTGCGTGAGTGTGTGCGTGCGTGCGTGTGTGTGCGTGTGTGTGTGTGTGTTTGTGAGTGTCTGTGTGTATAACAAAACATATTATTAGGTATGCACTTAGCGGTTGAAGGGCGCACTAGGGGCCGGGTTCCGCTATCGCGTTCAACTCCTAAAGGCGAAGCTTAAGGTTCTCCCATTTTTTATTCCTTGCACCACCATGGTGGTCTAGTGGCTAAGGTACTCGGCTGCTGACCCGCAGATCGTTGGATCGAATCCCGGCGGCGGCGGCTGCATTTCCGATGGAGGCGGAACTGCTGTAGGCCCGTGTGCTATGATTTGGGGGCACGTTAAATAACCCCAGGTGGTCTAAATTCCCTGAGCGCTCCACTAAGGCACCTCTCACAATGATACGGTGGTTTTGGGATGTTAGACCCCACATATCAATAATCTTTCTTCACTTTCTTGCGTTTTTCTTACCTATTCCTTTTATTCCCATTAGCGCATCCCTGTGCCGACCTGACCTTTTACGGGTGGCACTTTTCTTTTCTTTAATATGACCACTCATACACACAATTCTTTTTAGTCGACAGAGCTGGAACGTTTCAAAGGCCGTTCACTGGAAGACCTTGAAAGGGCGGCTATGTGGAACAGTTGTTTCTTGAGTGCATATATTATTTACAGCGAAAGCTGATATGGGATCAAAACTCGGGTGACGCGTGGCGCTGTAGTCGTCCGTTGCCGCCGGTGTCCATAACCACATTACACATAATTAGAAAAAAAAGGCAATACCAATGACAAAGTGGGGCTCGAACCCGGGTCTGCTGTGTGCCAGCCCAGAATTCGGCCACTGAGCTACGCCGGTTTTTTTTTTCTTTAATGCTGAGCCACGCCGGTTCTTGGGACTTGTTGGCAAACTTGCCTTAGACAGGCTTGATGTCGGGAAAGCAATCGCGTTATTACGACTTATAAAGCGTTATAAAACAGCGAATGAAAAACCAGTCTTCGCACATTGCAAATAGCGTAACGAGTGGATCGTCTAATGCTCCAACCCATTACAAAACAGTTGTTCTTGTTTGCCTCTTAACTGTGCCGCATGCCCACTTTAGGCACAATTCTTCATTGTCGTCAGCCACTGCATGAAGAATTGGCGCAAAATTCTTTGCAAGTGCTTAGCGGATACCACGCTTTTCAGAAGAATGACGAAAAAGAGCAGAGCGAATGACGGCCTACTACCCAAAAATTTTTATTATCGATGCCGTAGTGGGTCTGAAGTAAGTGTGCTTGAAGCAGTTACCCAGCGAGTGTTTAAAAAAGGATCTGAAAGGCCGCTCTTGTAGCTTTCGCTGTGACTGTGCTGCGCCTCCCGCGCAGACCTGGCGTTTTTTGTTTTTTTTTGTGATGGGTGAAGGGGGATACCAAGGTGTCCTTTGGTTTGGGCAAGCCCCGCCGCGGTGGTCTAGTGGCTGAGGTACTCGGCGGCTGACCCGTCGGTCGCGGGATCGAATCCCGGCTGCGGCGGCTGCATTTCCGATGGAGGCGGAAATGTAGGCCCGTGTGCTCAGATTTGGGTGCACGTTAAAGAACCCCAGGTGGTCAAAATTTCTGGAGCCCTCCACTACGGCGTCTCTCATAATCATATAGTGGTGTTGGGACGTTAAACCTCACATATCAATCAATTTGGTTTGGGCAAAGTTTTCGCTCCACCTCACCAAACACTGCTTCGCACTGAAGAAAAGAACCTTAATATTTTCCCTTGTAGAAATAATAAATTATATTATGGAAATAAACTATTTTGAGAGCGCTCTATGTTCATATACATTTACTCTATCTCTTTGAAGGGTATTCTCACTGTCTCGGCTACGCAACTGTGCAGCCTCTGATAGAGCTGCTTATATGGTATCGGTAGCTGTACCTGTTATGAACGAGCTGTAATTTTTCTCTACAGCTACGATTCATTCAGCCTATAAACATGCCGGGCCTGCAACAAAACGCTGATTCTTTTTTTATTGTACAAATGTATAATCATATTTCAAAGCCGCATAGCCTGATCAGTATAAAAATAAAAATTGGCATTTCTCTTTTCTTACTGGATGAATAACTGGTGATGAATAGTTCTGTATAAATACCGGGATAACAGTATTTATACTTTCAACAAACTTTGAGCAAAGACGTAGAAGTGCTATAGTGCAAAAAGCTATCTTGCGAATATACTCAGAGAAATATTTATGCCACAAAACAGCAGTTTTCTCGGACTACACCAAACGTGCAGAGCGCTTGCATCCACACTCAAACGCACAAGCGATAGCGTCACACAGACATGACATCAAATAGGATTAAACATCAGCCATAAAATGAATGCCGATATCATGGTTTTACCCCGCCGATATGAATTGGGCGACCACGTTCCTGTGCGATATCATGACGCCCTTGGGTTGGCCTGTGGTGCCACTCGAGTACAGGACGAACAGCACGCTGCTGGGGTCAGCAGCCGCCGGCGCTGCCTGGCACTCCGACAGCGGTGTCTTCCGCAAGGACTCGAACGAATGAGCTGCTGCGTGTTCGCCGAACACCACCAGCGTCTGCGGCGTTGGGCCAAAATTACAGATGGTCCAGACACAGATAATTAAAATTTGTCGCATGGCTTAGAAAACAAATAGCAATTGAATAAATGTCATTCGTTATTGTTGATGTTTCTCAAATTATCTGGTTCCCATGTTTAAGCCGCGATCCGATTTCGAGGCACACCTCAAAGGGAGATTCCGTATTGATTTTCATTCGAAGCAATGGTTGGGGGCATTCCAGAACTTTGTGTACTTTTTTGAATATATATATACATATATATATATATATATATATATATATATATATATATATATATATATATATATATATATATATATATACAACAATTCTGTGCAGGTATATTACAATCGTTAGAGCTATCCTCATCCTATAAGTAACCCGTGTCCAGCTGTCCATGAATGAAGCTCTCATGAAATACTGATCTTTGTACCATAATTGAAATACTAAGCGACCAGAAATACGCAGGAATGTGACATACCTTGATGGATGGGACCTTCTTTTGAGTAGCAACAACTTTTTCCACATTGTTCCCGTCACAAAACACGAGGCTGGGGCAGGAGTCCTCGAACTGGTAGCAGAGCTCGCCTACGCGAAGTTGAAGCACGTAACCATGCATCAGTCGCTTTACATTGCAAGGTCTGTGTCAGTTTTACGCGTCCCATGGTGCACGCCATCTGAGTCTTTTTCTGGATGTAACGTGAGTTACCAACGCCTAGGGCGCTTTGACCGCGACGCGCCTCCGAAAGCTTGGAAACGTCACGAGAGTCTTTGACACGCCGTTGGGCGACTCCCCAACCTTGCCGACTCTCATACGCTAAGCATCCCAATTGGAAGGACGCAATAGGACATTAACACGGTGGCTAGCTATGCACTGCCTAGAGTTAACGTGACACTTAAAGGAATAAACACGCAATGTAAAAGTACAATAGTGGACGAGGGCATAAACCGAAGAATGCATACGAGGGCAAGCGCTTGTCTCTGTCTACTCTTCGTGTAATGTTTCCGTCCAAAGTCGCACTGTTATATATTTAATACGCTAAACCAACTGTGTTCTGAGCTGAAAAGAGACAATCATACTAAAAGGGATGGTTTCTTATTATTCTTTAGAAGAACAACAGCTTAGAGTTAACTAAAGCCATGTTCAAAGCTAGTGCCATTACGTTCGGTTAAGTCCGCACCGACGTTTCCGCCTGATGCAGTAGTACACACGTTTGCCTTTGCAATGGTCCCGCTGCGTCATACAGGCGCGTATAGCGTGTTTACCTTCCATTAACTAGTCAGGAGCCTTGAACAAGTACGAAATTGACTACATTGTAGGGAGAATCTAAGACGCTCCTTTTTCTCGTACTAATCAGTTTTGATGACGGTGCGGACAAACAGTATAGATTAGGTTCCTATGACATACGAGATTCGAAACACATAATAAACGACAAAAATGAGACTGCATCATCAATGCTAGAAATATATTACATCATATAGTCGAATTTCAATATCTGTGATAATAATGGTGGGGTTTAAAGTTCCGACACAACGATGTGATTATGAGAGATGCCGTAGTGAAGAACTCCGGGATTTTCGACGACCTGGGGCTTTTCAACGTGCACTTAAGTAAACGGGGCTCGAGCATTTTCACCTCCCTGAAAATGCGGCCGTCGTGGCCGGCCTTCAATCTCGCGACCATCGGGAGTCGAGGAGTAAGACCACTAGACAACCACGACAGGTCCTTTGAAAGTCAGGGTTATGGACTTTCCGTGGACTCCGAAATTGCGTACCATTGTACATGACCCGTGTAATGATTTCTCACTTGTTTATATCTATCACATGCCACATGAAAAGCCTCAATTTACTACTACACATTGTTCCAAACTACAGTTTAAAATAGAGACAGGCACTGACGACAATATATGCCCCTCCCCCTCCATCACTGGAAAAAAAAGGAGAGATAGTTGCTCGAGGACATTGAAATGTATACCACATTATTTTGAGCCCAAAAATTAGAGTGTTTAAAACTCTTACAAAAGTGTGTTACACTTTAAAAAGAGCGTTATTGTAAATCACTGTACAAAACGAAGCGGCGTATTTTGAGAAGTTACACGATAGTGGGAAGGGGTATACACATCCGAAGGAACGTGGGGTAAGCGATCGGTAAAAAATGACAGGAACTTGTTTTAGTTGGGTCACTCCGAAGGCTCACGCATTCAAAGCTGGTGATATCAAATATGCTATTACAAATTCGGTATTAACGAAATGCAGATCACGACGGTTTGTTCCGGGAAAAACATAGGGGTGGAGTGGCATTGAGATGCAGCGGTTAGGGGAGCAGGCGAACTGTCATCGTTTCCTGTCATCACTGAATGGAGCTAGGATATGAATGGACACGATTGCCATCGGGACAGTCGGTAAATGAGGACGGTAGCTCGTTTGGGATTTGGCTTCATGAAACACATGAATGATACACTATTCAGGGTCACTAAAACACGTTTTTTGTTTCATTTGCGCTTGCAACGACAAAAAGCACGAAGAAATTATTATTGATTTCTTAAAGAACTGAACTGTGATGTATCAATTTTAATTATGACCATCCTGCTCTAACGATAGCATCAAATCAAGTGAACTAACAAGCCTAACAAACACCGTTAGCAGCCTAGAGGAAGAAACACGTACAAAAGAGCTCGGGTGCTCGTAGTCCTGAAAACAAGCGGTCCCCTGATGCTGAGTACAGCCTAATCATGTAAGAGAAAATGCCGCAGTAATACGGAAGCAGATGAAATGCATGCATTATACTTTTTTGATGATTATACATTTAACAGCGTACTAAAGCGTAGCTTGCTTGCGATAACGTGGAAAAAGTATACTCTGCTCTCTCATGAGGAAAACACGCCTAACAGACAAGTTCAAGAGCGTGCAAGAATCACCTCGTCTCCACTTGAAGCACGACAGGTGCCGCCGTTAGTTGGGCTACGCAGGGAAGCAATTTGCGGGTTATAAAATGGTGTATACAACCATTAAATAGAAGGAACAAGGACGAAAGTGTGAGGCTGAACAGCTCAACAGCTGTAGCGCGCTGCTATCTTGTCGACATCTGGATAGGCGTTTGTGCAGCCCCGTATAGTGAGCACCTGTTCGTCTTGTTCTTCCTTTCCAGGCCAAGGGCTCGGCAGTATGCTGTGGTTGCCCTCTGAAATATATCTGTGCTTCCGCGTCTTCTTCAATATCTATCCCCTCCTTCCTAATAATTAGGTAGCGTTTGTTACCATTCCCATGGCATCTAACCTACTTCTCGCTTCGTGTTTCCCCTTTGTGCGTAGTATACATGCGTTTACATATAGTATGTTAATAATAATCAAGAACTAACGCTCCGAAAGGTTGGGCTTTGCCATCACGGCGCGGCCTCCGGCAAGCACAACGCCGTAAAAAGCGACGATGGCATCCATGCTGGTGACGCAGTGGAAGCCCGCCATGTCTCCTGGTCCGAATCCCAGGCTGCGCAGGCCGGTGGCAATGCGGGAGCACATTTCTTCCAGCTCTCCATAAGTGCACCGCTCGACCGTGCTATTGTCGATCTGCGATGGGGACAGATGTAAGAGGAACTTAACGACTACAGAAATATTCGCGCGCACACTGGATGATAAACAGACTTATTCACATTGACTTACGTCTATAGACTGCTTGGTCTCGTCAAAGTTTCTATTTATTTTTCCCGCGATAAAATTTATTTTGAGTTATTTAGATCATTTTCCGAAACTCCTTGTTACTCAGTTTTAAAGAGCCAGAAATTCGTAGCTAGTGCAATGTTGTCAAAGGACAGACACATCGAACAAGCGAAAGCTTTCATTGTTTTGGTTAAAATAAACAATAGATCGGTGTCTACGCATGTTTTTTCACTTGTAGGGACCCCTAACCACCGACAAAAAATAATTAAGGCAGCTTCGCACTATAGTGGTGCAAAACCTGAAGAAAGTGCGGAGTGGGGCAGTTTTGTTTCTTTTCGGTCTTAATTTTCTTTCCTCTTCTCTTGCTTTCCATCGCCTTTTTAAATTGTTTGTTTTTGTTTTTCTCTTTATTTCTATTTATTTATTTTTCTGGGAGGCCAACCTCGCTTTGGAGGACCTGGACTAACAACGACGTCTCGTCACCAGGGCCAAGGAGGCAGTGAGGACCAGACGCTTTCTGGAATGAGAAGACCTCCCCCCTAAGGTGAACGCGGAACCTACACCGCCACACCGTTTCGAAAATGAACGTTTATTCCTCCTCCTCCTTTCTCTTTATCTACTTATTTCTCTTTCTTGCTCTCTATGTGTTTCTTTCTTTTTTCTTTTTTTCCTATTTCTATTTCTCACTTGATTTCTTTTCTTATTTTTATATGTAGTTTTGTCGGCTTTACACCAAGTGACGACAGCATACGACACCATACGACAGCCCGGGCTCCTAAAGCGCTGCGCATTGTTTATCATCATCAATGTGCATTAAGAACAAGAGAAAGAACACTTCTTGGCGCAAACACACGCTCAGTATACTACAGGTGGCTATGCTATTTTTACTTCTGCCTACGTCACGCCAAGCTACGGTGGCATACGATGACAGCATATACGACAGTAACTGACAGCCCTGACTCCTAAAGTGCTCCACACTTAAAAGGAACGAGGGTGTTCTGTCATGGTGTTTATCGTTATTTCGGTGCACTTCGTGATTCAGGGGACGTCATTATGGTATATACTCTCAATTGGTACATATGCGAGAAATATCAGTTACGAATCGTTGCCCACACTAATTTGACGGGCAGTCTCTCACCCGTTATCGCATCACTATCGTGCGCTACACACTGATTTCACTATGGTTTTGTGCGTTTCCGGAACCAGAACGCTTCCGCTTTCTGATCCTAGCAATTTTATGCAGTTTTTAGTTTTACCGGGAGACATTGCTCCCCGCTCCAGCGTGACAGAAGCAGTGTCTTCCCCCAGTCCACGCAGCCAGATGTATGCCATGGCAAGCTGCTCGTTAAATCAGCGCCTTCCCCAGAACCAATGATGACCACTGCCTGATGGCTGTGGACGCAAATCCTTCGGCGGCGTCGACCGACCAGCGATCAGCTTTTGCGAGCTCATCGTTGAATTGTAGCGCCTGTTCGAGCGCCAGCGAGTACACGGAACTGCCCCGCCGCGGTGGTCTAGTGGCTAAGGTACTCGGCTGCTGACCCGCAGGTCGCGGGTTTGATTCCCGGCTGCGGCGGCTGTATTTCCGATGGAGGCGGAAATGTTGTAGGCCCGTGTGCTCAGATTTGGGCGCACGTTAAAGAACCCCAGGTGGTCGAAATTTCCGGAGCCCTCCACTACGGCGTCTCTCATAATCATATGGTGGTTTTGGGACGTTAAACCCCGCATATCAATCAATCGAGTACACGGAACTCTACTCGGACACCGGCGACGTATCGACGGGTGACAGCTTCGAAACCGTGAGAAGCAGGAAGGCCAAACGAAGAAACGTCAAGCCATCTTCCCCAGCGGAGACGTCAACTGTGAAGTTAAAAGAAGAACGCTGGTCACGCACCATCTTGTACGTGCCCGAGGACTCCTCCATCAGCTTTCGAGGAGTAAATAGGCAAGCTCCCTCTACAGTATACTTTGAAAGAGTTATGCCGAACAAAATTTTGGGTATCCATGTGAACACACAGAAGAATATTTTTGCTGTGGACACGATGTCAGCGCCTTAAACAACTTCCGCAGAAAATCGGAGTTCGCCGACATCAAAGTCTGACCGCTGATTCCAATAGACGACACCTGCATGGCGGGAGTAATCTATGACATTTATTCTGCCATAGAAAACTCAGATCTCTCTATTCTTGTAGAACTAGTGAACGAGGTAGTTATCACGAATGAACTTCGCTCGGAAACACCCGCTGTGTAAAGATAATGTTCAAAGAAACTTCTATTCCGTCACATGCTAAGGTGGGTCATTACCGACATCCCGTTCGGCCATTTGTTCCTAAACCTCTTAGTGCCACAACTGCGAAAAAATTGCACGCGTCAAGAGTATATGCACAAGTACCACAGTACGCCCACGATGCCTTAAGCCACGCCCCACAGACGCATGTCGGACAACAAGTATGAAGTGCAGAAATAGTGATGGTTCACGTAAACCTTCCTCCAAAAAATGCCTGTGGATTAAGAAGAAAATTGCTATTAGAAAACAAATGGTCAGATAAAATTCATATCACAGAAAGGCTGCTCAAAATGTACAGCGTCGATGCAGCCGACGTAGAAGCCATGCAACACAGGGTGTCGCGCATCCCCCATCATCTTCGAGCACGGGTAAAATAGTAGGCACGTAGCGAAACGAGGTGGACAAGCCCTCAGCGGTGAATGGCTGGCCTACGCTTCCGCGTACGCAGCCTGCAAAGGAGCCCCCTCTCAGGCCTCCCTGCCCTACAACTTCCTCCGAGCTTACTTCAGCTGAGGATTGGTCAAGGATAGATCTACAGATCATCCCGATGCTACGATTCCTGGTCGCTGTCATGGTAGACCTACCGAGAAGCTTGGGAACTCTAACAGCTCAAAGCGTATTACAGTTGCTGGGCACGTTGAGCCCAGTCCTCGCCTCGCTCACGTAGAGCCATGACAGGAGATCAACAGTCGTTCCGCAAAAAGGTCACAGAAGCATGAGTTATCCAGTGGAACGCTAGGAAACTTTGATCACATGTTTCTAATTTTTGTCAGTACGTGTTTTTAAACTGTTTTCCAATCATTGTAATTTGTGAATCAAACTTAACAAACCTGATCAGACTATCGGGATACGTATCAATCCCACCCAAAACGTGCAACGAAATCAGCAAGGTCCTTTTGTATGATCCTAGAGAGCTTACCTGCATTATTCGACCTATGTCACCTCATCATAAAAAGCAGTATGTTTGCCTGACAGTGAAGCCAAAAAAGCCTCACCTTCATATAAGTATGTGCCTACCTATCTCCTTCTGATCGTTTAGATTGAAAAAGACTGAAGGACATACTTGCGGGTGTCCCAGGTCCATGGATAATTACAGGGAACCCCAACGCCCCCCATCATATTGGTGGAAGTTCAAATGTCAATGTCATGGGCGCAAAACTGGCTTCATTTGTGTCGGCTAATGAACTTTCTCTATTCAATGATGGGAGCTCTACATTTCTACGAGGGTCCACGCAAATCAGCTGCTTGGACTTGACATTTGCGTGCCATCGCTTCCCTTGAGGATGCACGCGAATAAGTGTCTCATTCGTTACTTTGCTGTGTCTAAAAAGCGCGCGCTTTTCGCAAATGGAGACTGCAATGATTGCAGTGACCTTTGTGTACCCTGTAACTACAGCTTAATCATTCCAGGTAAAGCCCGAGGCCAGCCAATGCGTACGACCTTCCCCTCTTCGCCACCTCGAGATAAGGGCGCGTGAGGGAGCGTCACTCCCCTTCTCTAAGCCGAACAAAGTACGCGTAGGAGATTAGAGCACGCGCCGTCGTGCGATGTGGTGACGTGCGCTCATTGCGCCATCTGGCTGGTAATGCTGAAAACACAATTCCCCCTTACCCCGAGATGCTCGTGAGCAGCGGTAAGTGGTAGATATAAGTAGAATGTCATTTTATTGGTCGAGGATGTGCTCCGGGGTGACGCAGTGGCTAACGCCTGACTTTCCCGACACAGAGGGAACCCGTTTACATCATAGCACACGCCTGGAAAAGCTATTTTAGCTTATTCGCTTTTTGTCACATATCGACTCGCATGTGAAGGAAACGGCAGGGTACATGGCTGGCTCATTTCCGACGTTCAAGATGAGCGTCACCACGAAGCGTGAGATAACTTGAAAGATAACTTGCCGTGGACAGGAACCAAACCTGCGAGCTTCGAATAACGCGTTCGATGCTCTACCACTGAGCTACTACGGCGGCTATCCTCCCAGCCACTTATTGGGTTTATACGTGAACCCAAGTGTGGGAGTGTCAGTCGGCGCCATCTGTAGCCATGGCGGCGAGTGTGTCACACTCTTCATGAGCCTGTATGGCGTCACGTAGCACGTGAACTTATTACGAGCTGGCAGCTGACCAATAGTTTCTCGTATACAACCTAAGACACCAAGCCTGCCAGTACGAGACCCTCGTTAATGAATAGGAGAAAGAAGTTTATACCTAAGGGCTCGTTTTTCCATGTTTTAACACAATAATATGGCGATCTAAGAGACAATATTACCAAGGAAACTATAGGGGAAGTTATTAGACAGAATTGTAATGCAAATGCGAAGAAAGAAAAGTGGATGACAAGATAACTTGCTGTGGACAGGAACCAAACCTGCGAGCTTCGAATAACGCGTTCGATGCTCTACCCCTGAGCTACTACGGCGGCTATACTCCCAGCCACTTTACTGGGTTTATATGTCTTGTTTTGTAAACAAGTTCCACGTGTGCCTGTGGCGCCGTGCGTGTTTGCGACCAGTTGAATGAACTGCGGGCACCGGTGATCAACACATACTGAGCACAACTGTTTATAGCGTATACGCCATGTATGGTGACGCTCTGCAATCGGAACTTATGGGTGTAGAGATACGCAGGTGTTGTACCCTCACCAGTGCTGTCCGGTCGGCGAATTCTTTCCATGCATTCCGCAAGCACGTGGGGAAGTCACAGTCGGGAACCGGAGGTTGCGGAGCTGCAGATCGCACCACATTGTCCTCTATCACTGTGGTTGGGCCACGTGGGCTCTGCTGGGCGGCCTTTTGTTCTTGTGGGTCAGTCATGCTGATGTTCCTGCAGTTGGAGGTATGCAGCGTACAGCTTAAGTAAAACCCAAATATTTATTTATTTATTTATTTATTTTACCCTCAGGGTTTTCACATTACAGAGGGGAGGGGCATGGTACATGTAAAAATGGGAAACAACACTTGATAAATATATACAAGAACAAAATTTCAATAATTGGCATAATAATACAGAATTACGTTATATATAAACTACGTCAACAAAGACAACGTAGCAGTAGCGATAATGCAGGTAGTAGATATTCAAGCACTAAGCAAAGAACAACAAACACTCTCAAAAACAACAAAAAAACAAAAAGGACATGACACACATATACATATGCACATACATACATCCATATATATATACATATATAACACAACGCAGAAATCAAGTAGCGCCAAACAGGTTTATTATAGGACCATCATCAATATTATAGGACCATCAGTGAGCTCGATGTGATAAAACGTTCGGTGCGGATCGAAAAATTGGCAGGTGGAGCCCACAGAATTGGAAGAAGACATGCTGAGTTCGGCGCAATCTCCAACGATGTCCATTTATGATTCTCAGCTTTTACTACACTCTCCAACTGTTAGCCGAGTGCGTTAGTATTGTTCTACGTACTAAATTAATGCTTAACTACATACTGTTTGATATTTGTTTAGCTCCCCAGTAACAGGAATGTCATTTTAGGTAGAGGCCATTGCGTCACCGGAAGACACTAAACCTCATTAGGACAAACAAAAAAAAAGAATCATAAGATGCAGTAGACGACAGCAGTTTGAAATTACATAGAGTCACTCCTTTTTATAAGGGCATAAAGCTATAGTGGTACACCAAAACAGCTTCAGAAATAAGATTGAGTGGTGCTGATTGCGAAGTTCTTGGTCTGTGGCTCTCTGAAAATAATTCAATCGCATTATATTAGTCACAGTTGTTACTCACAAGCTCAACACACGAAAAAGCGGGCAATTATTAGAGGCGGGTGAATAGTGAATTTCGCAACCAAATTGAATACGAAGGGCATTGAATACGAAGGGAGAAACCAGCCCTGTGCATGAAAAAATTTAGATTTGGAATTCTACAACGCATTCTGGTTATTACAACTTCAGCTCGTCTTGCTGCACACCATTTCCTGCTCCAAGGGAACTGTAGGTGCGGAAAGTCCGGTGATGAATCGAGACGAGCTCATTGTCTCTTCTTCTTTGTCCTCTCTTCTTTCTCACAATGACACATACAGGCAGTGGCCTAGGCCAATTTCTCTGCACGCCCGTAGCAATATTGGGGTTTTAAACTGCATCATACCACCCTACCTTATCCAGTTTGCGAAAATTGCCATTATACCTATTGCCGCTACCACTACCAAAGCTGAAACTAACATCTGCGACCGCATGCTCTGCAACAGAATGCATTAGCGACATTGCGACGAAAACCAAAGACGAGAAGAGTGGTTTTTCCTAAATTTCAATTGAAGATAGTTTAGCTAACTGACATATGAGGCAAGGAATGTGTGCAGACAGACCAGAACAAACTAAAGTTTTTATTGTAAGCAGGCTGAACCATATATAAAGGAGGTGCGTAGCCAACATTTATTTTTGAGTATCATGGGGGAAAGAGGAGTGGGTGTTGGTATTGATCCCTCTAAATATAGGGTGCCGCAGCTAACTACCACAGTTTAAAAATGTGCTGATACTCTTTATGATGATGCGACCAAATGCATGTTTTGACGACTGCATGAAGTAAATCACACTATTCTATTCCGCTGAACTGTAAATTTTGTAATATATATAGGCTCACTCACAAATCAATCAACCTGAGCGAAAAGTGCAGTTAAGAAGTTGTAGATCGGTTTGTGGTACGTAGATTACACAGACTGGTTGTTAACTTTTAGATATTGGAGTTTTTCAGCTTCCTGCAGACGTCCACGCAATACACTAAAAACTACGTGACATGCCCGTGTGCGCGCAGTTATTTCAGTGCTCCCCGAAGTTCCACCTGCAGATGACCAAAGCGTTACGCCACGTGTGGACAGTGGCGACGATGGGGGCTGTACAAGGACGGACTGTTTGCCTGCCGTGGCTCAAGTAACAACGGTGCGTAAGTGGGCATGTCACGTGGCATACTCTAGTTTGCTGGCATGCGCAGTAAGAATGCAATCACTGATTGATTGATTGATATGTGGGACTTAACGTCCCAAAACCACCATATGAATATGAGAGACGCTGTAGTGAAGGGCTCCGGAAATTTCGACCACCTGAGGTTCTTTAACGTGCGCCCAAATCGGAGCACACGGGCCTACAACATTTCCGCCTCCATCGGAAATGCAGCCGCCGCAGCCGGGATTCGATCCCGCAACCTGCGGGTCAGCAGCCGAGTACCTTAGCCACTAGACCATGGTGGCAGGGCAGAATGCAATCACTGATATGAAATATAGGTACAATGTTTGTTGGTATAATGTTACGGATCCCACCACTGCCACCACTCTTACGACTCGCACTGCCGCCGACACTGTTGCGTAGTGCGCCGAGGTCACGGGCCGCCAAGGTTACCAGTCGTTTGGTAGCGTGTGTTTCTCAGGTCGTGACTGCTTCTGCACAGAGCTGATAGATGAGCGGACAAGACGACGATGAGTTTAGGCGAGGTTTATATACAGCATAGAAAAAGATGCGTTTCATATTCGGCCCTGGGGCCGACAGCTTAGACTCGAAGAGCCGGGATGTCTTCTCTCAGACGCATACATCGTCTGCATGGTGAAGCGCCGCGTGGTTCTTTATAGGCCCCAGGCGATCCTTTCCATCCTCAACGCCCAATCAGAACTGCCGCCGGGTCACGTCAGAATCCCCCAATGGGGACCCACCGCTGGGTGGCACCATGATTCTCAAATCCGGAGCCGCGGCGCCGGGTTGCACCCAAGGACGAGTGATGTTGCTACACATTGCATATAGGACTCGCCAGACTGAATGGCGCCGCTTGCATCATCGGGCTGATATCGGGCCCGCGGGTTGAGGGAGCTCACCATGCGTTGCGTAAGACAGACCGGCGGCGCCGGGCTACATGACATCATTGAGATGATGGCGTCAGGCAGGCTCGCTCACTGGCCTTGACACAGATTGCCTTTGCAGAGGCAATGACGTTCGGTGTGGATTCTCAGGCGTAACAATATGTCAAGCTTTCGCTAGAGGCAGCTGGGGCATCCTATATATGTTTTGAAAAGTTTGTACGTGTGCTTTCACATCACAGACAAACGATACCCCCTCCCCCCCCCCCCCATGCACGCCTCACTATAAATGCACACAGTATACGTTTAGATTGAAGCATATGATTACGCAGTTATACTTCTCGCATCTCCTTCGTCTTACGGCGGAAGTGGCAAGCTATTTACGCAGCAATTCCATATATCCACAAATGGTATACAGCACAAGTTACCGCAAGTAGGTTATCATGTTGGATTGGAGTGATAGTCTTGTGGGCCGCCCGTCAAAATATAACATATGAAATTATACAACTGCTTGACGTCTGTAACGGCACCCAAACCGTAGCGCATGTGCATGAGACGAGAATCATGACGCTAGGAAATCTTCTAAAAAATGGCATATGCCACATTCTGTGCGAATCGATGATATGCGAAGCACGAATGAGGAAGGCTGATATGTCACTTTAAAATCAGCACAACGTTACGAGGCAAACATGTATTATGTCGTACACGACTTCCATACCAAGATTAACATGTTTGGGTGTGTCATTTACCTTCGTCGTCTATTCACGTCACCTGATGCTCGCCGCGGTGGTCTAGTGGCTAAGGTACCCGGCTGCTGACCCGCATGTCGCGGGATCAAATCCCAGCTGTGGCGTCTGCATTTTTAATGGAGCCGACAATGCTATAGTCTCGTGTGCTCAGATTTGGGCGCACGTTAAAAAACCCCAGGTGGTCGAAATTTCTTGAGTTCTCCACTACGGTGTCTCTCATAATCATATGATGGTTCTAAAACGTTAAACCCCACATATCGATCATCAATATATCCTGGTACCTGATACAAAATTTGCTATACGTACAGCTAGTGAAACGGCTGCGAGCACGCTTTGAGCGTAGCAGGCAATCATGTTTCACATGACACGCATATCATAATTATAATGCTTAGACGTATCATTCACCTTCGTCGTCTATTCACATAACGTGATACCAAGTTTTGTATATGTGGCACAGGGGAAACGGCTGTGAGCGTGCTATGAGTGTAACATGTAGTCATGTTTTACATGACACGCATGTCATAATTATCAAGTTTGGATGCGTCATTTACCTCCGTCATCCATTCACGTCATATAGTACGAAATTTGGAGAAGCTAGTGAAAGAGCCACGAGCTCATCATGAGTGTGGTAAGTATGATGTTCTTACAAGACAGATTTTATGAATATCGTGTTTGCACCAGTCATATACCTTCGTCATTCATTGACATCACTTCACACCAAGTTTGGTATATGTGAAGCAAGCGAAACGGCCGCGAGTGCATCATGAGCAATGCATGTAGTCATGTTGTTACATGACATGCATCTCATAATTATCATGTTTACACCCGTCATGTAGCGTCGTCCTTTATTAACGTCAGGTCACACCAAATTTGGTATATGTGAAGTTAGCGAAACGGCCGCAAGCGCCCCATGAGCGTGGCATGAAGTCATCACTATTCATAACATGAAAATCAGGACATGCATGTGATGATTTTCATGTTAGGATCTCTCACCTATGTTCGCAGTGCAGTCATGTCATACATACCAGTTTTTCAAAATGTTGTCAAGGAAACCACCGCAAGAGCAGCAAGACCATAAAATGTAAATCACGACATTTATGGCATCCGTATGATGATTTTCATGTTATGACTAGTTAATTATGCTCATAATACAGTCATTTTAGGCCATGTCATATTTGGTGTGATCGCGATCGTGATCGAGACGGCGAGGAGAGCTAAAAGTCGTATATATAGGTAGATAGATAGATAGATACGCTCAAAGTCGCCAAATGTCGCTAAAAAATTCTTCGCATTTAATAAATTTATAATAGGAAATCCGCTATTGGGACAGAAAATACAGTGTGCTGCCGTTTTACTCTATGACCTGCACTTAAGTGATGAACCTAGAGCCGATGGATACAAAGAGTACCAGTATATGCCATGCACTGCGCCTATTCGTGACTCCAACTGCACGTTCGCCACCTAGTGGCCGCGCCTGGACGCGGCGCTAATAATGTAATCTTTGAAAGACGACATGTTACCACGTTGTGCTCTTTGAGAAGCGACCACATAGTTCCTTTCTTTTCACCATGCCGCAAGCGTGAGCCCGAAAAAAAAAAGAAAGTGACATCCAGAGAGCATTGCTGTGTGTCAAATTGCGTGGCATCGTGGTCGAAAGATGGCAACCTATCGTTCTGTCACTTCCTTACGCATGCAGACAATACGTGGTGTAGAATGGCACCAATCTGAAACTTACACATTGGAAAGATGGCGACGGATACCGCAGTAGTTTGTCCCAATCAATTCGCTCGCGACGACTCAATTCTACTCGGTCAGTACCCCGTTATTATTCTTGTGTGCATTCTTATAAATATTCGGCATCCTCTAAGCATGGAGTATAGTTGTGTTTATATAAGCAAGCGCTTTAGGAAATTTGTTGCATTACGCGTGTGACTGTATTTTTCACATATGCTTGTTTTCTATTGAAGTCGTAGTGCTACCCAGCTCTGGTGCGGTGGTCTAGTGGCTAAGGTACTCGGCTGCTGACCCGCAGGCCACGCGATGGGATTCCGGCTGCGGCAGCTGCCTTTTTGATGGAGGCAAAAATGCTGTAGGCACGCGTGCTCAGATTTTGGTTCACGTTAAAGAACCCCAGGCGTTAGAGATTTCCGGACTCCTTCACTATGGTGTCTGTCATAATCATACGGTGGTTTTGGGCCGTTAAAACCCACGCATCAATCAATAATTTCGGCTGTGTGTATATACACGTACACAAACTCGCCGCGAAGGTCACGCGTGAGTAGCATGTGTTTTCATATGTATATATATGTTGGTGTTTCATCATGTCCGTGCATTTGATTGATTGATATGTGGGGTTTAACGTCCCAAAACCACCATATGATTATGAGAGACGCCGTAGTGGAGGGCTCCGCAAATTTCGACCACCTGGGGTTCTTCAACGTGCACCCAGATCTGAGCACACGGGCCTACAACATTTCTGCCTCCATCAGAAATGCAGCCGCCGCAGCCGGGATTCGAACCCGCGACCTGCGGGTCAGCAGCCGAGTACCTTATCCACTAGACCACCACGGCAGGGTATGTCCGTGCATTTGTAGCGTGCGTAGCGGGCTTTCATATATGTTTTGAATATCAGCTACTGCCAACACGAACGAGCGAGTGTTCGAAAGCACACGATCTTATCCATTAGAAACCCAATAACATAGATTCACGAACGCAAAGAAAAGAGCACTCCCATTACAGTCGAAACTACGATTTGCCTTATCTGATACACCAACCTAGGCATAGCTGCATTCTGTTATCAAGTGAACGGCATGCGCACTCAGTTTTTGACGGTGCAACGAAGCTCAATGGAATACACGCAATCAGCAGCATGAGTACCAGCGTAGTTACCTTGAAAACTGATAAGACTTTGCATGTAGTAGCACAGGAACGCAGCGCAAAAGTGCTATAACACCTTTTGGAGAGATGTCCCGCCGCGGTGGTCTAGTGGCTAAGGTACTCGGCTGCTGACCCGCAGGTCGCGGGATCGAATCCCGGCTGTGGCGGCTGCATTTCCGATGGAGGCGGAAATGTTGTAGGCCCGTGTGCTCTGATTTGGGTGCACGTTAAAGAACCCCCGGTGGACGAAATTTACGAAGCCCTCCACTTTGGCGTCTCTCATAATCGTATGGTGGTTTTGGGACGCTAAACCCCACATATATACATCATCACCTTTCGGAGTACTACGAATAAAGCCACCATACTTCACTGTAGCTGTACCGTACGTTAGACTTACGGCACTATTTCCCGTGTGCGATGGTCGTTGCGAAAAACATGAATAATAATATAAGGAGAACGTCTTAGCCGTTTGCATTTATATAGTTTATATCATGAACGATTGAACGAAGTAGTATTTTCGTATTGCTCTACACAGATCGAACCCTAAAAACTTGAATATTGAGAGTTCCGAGTGCCTTCTAGTTCATTGAAATTCACTGGTGTGCTCTGGAAACGCTGTTATTTTTGTTAATCATCTGTACGTCTCAACAAACAAGTGCAGTATGTTTTATTGCATACATATATGTGGTTATTAGGTAGTGCGAATCACTCACGGTGCGCCGATGCATCTAAAAGTAATCAAGATTAAGAGCATAACTGCGTTTTACTCTCTCGTACCTTAAGAGTATGTGGACATTTCACAGAGTATGTGGACATTTCAAATAGAGTGAAATGAATTTCACTCTATTTGTTGCTTTGTGAGAGTAGAAGAGCACCCTGAAGAGTAACTCGGCATTTTTACTCCTGCTATACCCTCCGCAGTTTTTAGAGTGTAGGTAGGATGCAGCCGATTCCGTGCAGCGCACGGCTGATTGCGCGGCGCTTTTGGAAATGAGCCGTCACCTACTCCACATTCTTTGATTTTGCGCTTCGCAACATTCGTTTAAAAAAAAAAGCGTCTTGTTTCTTCAGTAACACGTTCATTGTGTCATCCAGAATGCAGGCGAGGAGACGAAGTGTAAACGCAGTAGCGTTCACTGAAAAAGCGACGTATATAAAGCAAAAACACTGTAATAGTTCTAGAACTGCCTTAGAAAAGGCGCGATTGCTCACCTACTGCGTAAGATGGCCGCAATCTACCAGAGCAAATGGTTTTGCTCATGAAAGAGCGCTGAAAACTTGCAAAAGTGCGTTCCTGGTGAATATTCGTGCATGTTGGGCAGGCAACAATGCAGCAGTTATTTTTGGACATCGCTGAAGGCCGACAAAATAATTGAATCAAGAAGAATAAACACATGCCTCTGTGCACTCGCCTATACACTCGCAGAAACACTGCTCGTCCGAGCCCATCAACGCTTCTGACCCGCAGCCGCATGCAGCTGGGGTCATCGGCGCTTTGTGTATCGCCTACAGATTACCGGTGTTGAAGCTTATTGCCCATAAGCCCTTCAATATATATGTTTATTCTACTTTCTGCACGCCGGTTAGAGTTCAGATTTATTCAGCACTTTAATGCTAAATCACGGTCAGGCTTCGACGTGTGTATGCCGGTATCCTGGTGCGTTTTTTTGCTAGCAATAAACCTTCGTGATGATTTTAATTTAAAAACAAAAGCCCTCAGTGGCCACAGGACCTTTCCAATAGGCTGCACGCACGATTTGTCAATAAACCGAGAACGCCACGTGTTGCTGAATAGGCACAAACAAAGACACACGCATTGATACAGGGTTGAAGAAAAATAAAAGCCGCAGTACTTACGAAATTGTACCACCGTTATATGCTTTCATGATGTATGTAGATACTCATATAGTAATCATATAAACAATAAGTGTGTTTATTCTTTGTGTGCAGATGAGCACTATATTGCATGCTCTGAGTGAATTCAGGTATTATTTTTTCGCACTGTTCCTCATTGCACCTTAGAGATCAACATTCGTTGTTAAAAAAAAGTATATATTTATTTTTCTTTCCCCCAGTAGTGGCTGCGACATCGCGAAACACGGTGAGTATGAAGATTGCACATATAAAGTAAATCACGTTTACCTCGATGGGGGATCAGGGGATGTCAAAAATATCGACATACGCTCTAAGAAAGAGAGTCCGTTGTCTCTTTTTAGTGAAGCCTGTCTTGCGACACATATGATTCTCTCTCTCTAAAGAAACACATGAACTCCTAAGGAGATCATTCTCTTGATGGAGTCGCGAGACTCAAAACACCTTAACATGTCTAATAAAGAAAAAGTCATAAAATATTTGGCAGTGAGCCAATTCTAGCATGACTCTCTGTGAAAAAGGTGAACCCTGTCTATGAAGGTCATTATACTATTGTCGGAGAGTCGTGCGACTTGAAGGTGGGTTAATGCGTCTCTTCAAAGCTAGTAATATAAGTGGCAAAACGAAATTCGCCAAGAAGAGTAACACAAACCCTTTTGTTTTCTCATACGGTGCATACTGAAACACATAAACCAAGAAAAATTACCAGAACGCCTAATTAGAGAGCTCTCACACACGCGACTACACAGACTGCATTTTTCGGCAAATTTAACGCGATTACACTAAATGCAAATAAAATACGAACGCTTTCCAAACAAGCCACAGATTGGGGTTTTTTTGCCAAGCCTTAATCGTGTGACAATCATAAATCACCTTAATGACAATTTTCGGAAACAAAGCTATCAAGAAAAAGACCAGCGAATAATACCTCACCTGTCCACGATCACGTTCTTCCTGCCTTCGCCGTTCCACGAACGGCCTCAGTTGAAGTACCACGGGTAATACACTGACTGCCACAGCAGCCGTAAGAGTGTGGGGAGATAGGATCACCAATACGGGAATACAATACCTCTCGTTGATGAACGCGTCCGATAATAAATCAGCAGTAGACGGAAGCACGCACATGACGCCTTGTCAGTAAAGCACAATGTACTCCCTCGTTTCCAGCTTTTCGCTGAGCGGATGTAGATGGCAGCGCCGGCGCCTACGACAAGTATTGTTTGCTTAGAGATACGTCTGCAACAATCGAGGACCCTCTCCAACCGCCCTATGGCCCGGGTGTAGCCACCTTGAGGTATCTCCTCCGCAACCGGCCGAAGTGCCGTACACAAAGAACGCTCACGGAGGATGTCGGATCAATGAACTTGACGCTCTTTGAAAAATTAGTTCAGTTTTCTCTGGACACAATAACAACATTATGCTTGTATTTGGTTATTCTTGACCACACCAAAGAAAGCACATTAACAAGTAATGAACAAGATGACAAAAATTGTTCGTTTGAAATACGAAAGCACGGACAGATAATAACAATTATACTGCGGTGTCATGTGCCGCAATCATGAGGCGCGTTATGGTGGAGGGCTTCGAATCAATTGGGTCCACCTGGCGTTCCTCAATGTGCACCTAAATCTAAGGACACGGGTATTCTTTGCCTTTTGCCCTGATCGAAATGCGGCTGCCATGGCCTGGAATTGAATCCGCGCCCTCAAGCTTAGCAGCGTCACATCTAAGGTTGATTTGATAGATATGTGGGGTTTAACGCCCCTAAACTACCTAATGAATATGAAAGACGCCGTAGTGGAGGGCTCCGAAAATTTCGACCACCTGCGGTTCTTTAACGTGCACCCAAATCTGAGCACACGGGTCTACAACATTTCTGCCTCCATCGGAAGTGCAGCCGCCACCACCGGTATTCGATCCCGCGACCTGCGGGTCAGCAGCCGAGTACCTTAGCCACTAGGCCTCCGCGGCGGGTTGCGACATGTAAAGTGCTAAGCTATATGGCTGCGGGTCCAAATGAGAATGGCTGCGTGATGGGTTGTGCGTACAAAGACTAATCCTCCTATTTCATTTGTAAAGGACGCATTGGGGATTCGGAAATGGTATCTCGGGAAATGAACAAAAGAAAAAAATCTAATAAAAAGGAGAGTGCAGTATCTGACACAAAAAAGGGGATTACGAGAGATTTTTTCTTTTGTCTGGCACAGTCTTAATGAAAACCAGCAGATGATGAAGCCAAAAAAGGCAAAAGGGGCACTAATTGCAATATTTTAGGTGTATTGTAGTCATTTTGATATAGATACGAACAAAGTAAATTGGCCGAAAAGACGTACTTTTTGTCACTGCCGGTGGCAGGTTGTCTTACTTTCCACTTTGGCTACTATTAGATTTGGCTCTTTTTAACTAACAAAGTTCACTCACTCACTCCCTCACTTGCACACTCACTCACTCACTTGCTCACTCACTCACTCACTAACTCACTAACTCACTCACTAACTCACTCTAACTCAATCATTCACTCACTCACTCACTCAATCACTCACTCACTCATCCTGTCTGTTATCACGGTTCACCCAATTTACTTTGTAGAAAGGTGATTGTTCCTTAGGTACTGTTAACTGAGGCGCAAAAATATATTGTGAAAAAAGAGGGAGCAAAAAAGCAGAAAGAGCAGCACCGACTACCAAATGCTTAATGACATTCTAAGACCCTCACAGCAAGAAATAAGACATCTCCACGCATTTGTGAACAGCCAACAAATCAAGAAGAGGGACATGGTCAAGAGAACAAACTATCGAGAAAGTGCATTTCCGTCGAATACAACGTTGAAATTATGTAACTGATGCAATAAGTACATACGCAAGTTAAGCACCAACTTGCCCGAAAAGAAGCCCTTTTAGAGATCTTTGTGTTCTGGATACTAGGCAAACGTAAGGTTCTCCAACAGCTACACTCTTTACACAATACATCTAGAGTTCATCTGCAGTCATATCATTAGTTTTCGTTATAGCTGAAAAAAAAAACAACTGTTCATGGTTCCTCATTTTCTTTTAAACTGCAACATGAGGTGTTTCCAGGAGTGTTACGCTTCCTGCTACTAAGCCAGTGTTCTCTTCGTGCTTAAATTACTTGCTTTTGTTCGTCCAGTTTTGACATCTAGTCATTCATAACTCCAGTAAACATGACCTGTGCTTGCAACGCTGCTCAGATAAGCAATGTTGGCGGCAATATCCAGAGTTATGATGGCATTTTTGCTATACTTGCGCTTAGCACTGCATTGAAGATTGTGCAATTTGGCATGGGATCATGGTGTTTCGTAGAAGGCCAAAAAATGCTTTCTGCCGGTCACACTGTATTAGAGTGTGAGCGTTTGTAGGACAAAAGAGTGGAAATAGTTGGGTTGTGCGTACAAGCGTTAAAACTGCTTGATGAGTCCACCAAATTTTCTTTTCTTTTTTTGTTTCCTTTGTCGAATGTGAAGCAATTTTTAGTGAACTTCGGTGAGTTTGACCGTATCTATCTATCTATCTATCTATCTATCTATCTACTATCCTATCTATCTATCTATCTATCTATCTATCTATCTATCTATCTATCTATCTATCTATCTATCTATCTATCTATCTATCTACGACTTTTAGCTCTCCTGGCCGCTTCGATAATTGGATCTACACCAAAATTGGTATGGCATAACATGACTGTATGACTAGCATAAATGACGACTCATGACATCAAAATCCTGACTTGTATGTCATGAACGGCATCACTCACATGTCATGGTTTTACTGCTTTTTCGGTGGCTTCGTTTTCATGACACATTGCAACACTTACATGGTATGAGTTGACTGCATGGCGATCGTAAGTGGAAGGAGTTAACGTGGAAATTATGACATGCATGTCATGAAAGTCATGACTACATGCCACGGTAATGATGCGCTCGTGGCCGTTTCGCTAGCTTCACATATACCAAATTTGGTATTACGTGACGTGAACGAATGACGAAGGTGAATGACACGTCCGGACATGATAATCATGACATGCGTGTCATGTAAAACATGACTTCATGCTACGCTCCTAGTGCGCTCACGGCCATTTTGCTAGCTTCACGCGTATCAAATTTGGTTTTACGTGACGTGAATAGATGACGAAGGTATATGAATGGTGCAAACATGAAAACAATGACATGCGTGCCGTGTAAAACATCAGTACATGCTACCCTCATAGCGCGCTCACGGCAGTTTCGTTAGCTTCACATATAGCAAATTTAGTATTACGTGACGTGAATAGATGACGAAGGTAAATGACACGTAAAAGTATAATCATGACATGCGTGTCATGTAAAACATGACTACATGTAACGCTCATAGCGCGCTCACGGCCGTTTTGCTAGCTTTTCATATACCGAATTTTATACTACGTGACGTGAATGGACGACGAACACAAAATTTAGGTGAAAACATGATAAATATGACATGGAAGTCATGTACGACATAGCTTATGTTTGTCTCGTAACGTTGTGCTGATTTTAAAGGGACGTATCAACCTCCCTCATGCGTGCTTTGCATATCATCAATTTCCTTTGTAGGTGGGATCCGACAATTTTTTAACTCGCTTTATTTAAGATATAGAACCCTTCAGAGAGGTGGGGGTCAAAGAGGGTAAGTTTTTGTCCATATCATGCATCTCCGAATGACGGAAGTATACTCGTGCGTGACGGAAAATTATGAGTAGCAGCTCCTTTAAAAAGTCATCGCGAGTACGGGGAATCTGTAATTTCACGTATTGTAAAGAACATTTTCATTTTGTGGATCAAAACACAAGTGCCGCTGAAGAGTGGTTTAGAGGCTAATTTAAAGTCAAGCTTGGTGAGTCCTGAAAGCATCACTAAAACATGCGAATACATATTTGAGCTAATAGCATTTTTTTTTCAGTCGAGCATGTTAGGTTTCCATGAAGTAGACATGAATTATCCTAAGAAATCTCATATGTATCAGCGCATCACTTTGAAACGAATCTATTAGCACAGAATTCAGTTATGTGTACGTGTAGTGTCGCAGAGAAACTTAGTGCACGGTGCGGTGCGTAAGTCAGATATGCTTGTTAATCAAGCACAAAAACGAGTTGTGTTCAAGAATAACACAAAATCGTCTACGTGCACCAGATGCACAATAAAAATAGGCAGAACGTACGTGTCCATGAAGACTCTAATTTTTTTTACTGAGTTAGAGGCGGACAAAAGCCGGTCAGCGAGGATATTCCTGTTGATAAGCTTCAATATCAGTAACAATAAGAAGAAAATTATCAGAGCCGAAATTTGTGTGCATAGTTCATTCATTGAAGCGATATCTTCAAACAAAAGTTTACAGTCTGCTCTTCGAAAAGCTCGCCTTAAATTCAAGACAACGAACTTACACTCACCGGGAAAAAATATTTGAAAAACTCTTCGCGAGTGTACTTTTAGAGCAATTCGGACTACCTTTGACTGAGCTGTGATGTGATGGGATGATGTCATCAGTCTCATTACCTTACGTCGCTGTGACGTCGTATAGACGTCACAATTCAGTTATATGTGACGTCATGTCATGGTGTTTTTGGCATGACTCATACCCAAAGCCATTGCCGGTACGAGAGGCGCCGCTAGTTGGTTGATTTTGCGTTGGATGAGTCACCTAAAGCTTTCGCCTCGACCCCTTGTGTCCAAGCGTCCACATATGCCGATATAACATAGCGATGCAATGTGATCAGGCTAGCCAGTGCATTGTTTCAGAAATGTATTTGAAATGTTGGTTTTTCTTCAGAATTTTATAAGAACATGTATGCACTTCTGTGAAGGAACAACAGTAGGTGCACGCGAAAAAATGCATTTTGCCTTAAAATAAGTATGACTCCGTTCTTCGAAAAGTTCGCATAATATTCAAAATAAAGAACTCACAAACTAGTGACCTACTCACCAGGAGGCAAAGAAAACACTTCGCCAGTGCACTTATAAAACAAACCAGCAGAGTTCAAACACGTTTCTCTTGATGCGCTGGTTTCAAACTCAGCACGTCTTTCTCCACTGCACGTTGTTTGCTTCTTCTGGAGAACAATAAAACGATGCGTTGCTGCCTTTCAACCGCAATGACTCGCATTGTGGCTCA